TCCGCCAGCTTGGCGGCCAGGGTCTCGGCCTCGTTGCGCGACAGGCAGTAGATGATGCCACAGTGGGTGCGGCCCCGGGAGTCGACGTACCTGGGGACGCGCGCGCGTGCGTGTGTGAGTGTGTGTGCGCGCGCGCGCGTGTGTTGTGTGTGTCGATGAGCGGGGCGCTGTTGAGCACGAGATGTCCGGTCAGCTCGTTGATGCAGATTGCGATTTGTAAACCTTGTCCAGTTGCCTGTCCTCCCCACCCCTCTCGACACGACACCCGCCGGCCGAAGAACCACACCTCCCCGCCTCACTTTTTCGTGAGCAGCTCTCCGATGTCCTGCGCCGCGCTCTTGCCCTTCTTGCGCACAACGTACCTGGGGGTTGGGGGTTTGGGTTGGGTTGGGGGTTTGGGTGGGTGCAAGCGTTTGGGTGGGTGCAAGCGCTGCTCCGTACTTCATGTAGGAAGGGCTCCAAACTCCCAGAGACGAAAGCAATGTGCGGCAAACCTGCGATCCGCCGGAGGCCCGCCCCCAGCCCAACTCAAGAGGGCCCTGTCCGCCGCCGCGGGCGCGAGGGCTGTGCCGCCCCGGGCGCGAGGGCTGGTACGCCCCGCGCGCGGGGGCTGTGCCGCCCCGGCCGCGCCTGAGGTTGTCCCGGTTGAAGCTGGTCTTGAAGACCACGCAGCGCGGGATGCAGAGCTGCTGCCGCACGTCGTGCTGCACGCGCGCCGTGGCCGTCGCGGTCAGCGCCATCAGGGGGACCTGCGGGGGAGAGTGCGGGCGCGGCAGGCCGGGGCGGATAGTGAGGCAGGCGGGAACGAGGAGGCGCACAGCTGGGTTGATGCGGGTGTTCACATCCGAGCCGCGATGGGCCGTCCATCGGCCCTGAGCCGTTGAAACAAGGTGGCGTGAGTGCTGAGGGCCAGTTTCGGGCCCCCCCGGCTGGCGTTGCCGGCAGCTCAGGCAGAGTTTGACCACATTGACAGAGGGCGAGAGCTCGGCACTCGCGCACGCAAGGGCATCATATATATACAAGTAAGTATTTATGCAAATCTCTGATGATGATTTTAAACTGTTGAACTCACCTTGGGGTATCGCGCCTTGAAGACCGACAACTTTTTGTAGTCGGGGCGGAAGTCGTGGCCCCATTGCTGCGGTTGGCGTGGGCGGGGGAGCGACAAAACGATCAGTTTTGTCGGTGCTGCCAGGGTGATGGGGAGCCAATGTTCTCAGGGTCCCAGGTCCTGTGTGCAAATGATCCTGCGGATTCCTGGGAATGGGGCCAGCTGCCGTGCCGCAAACAAGGCCTCTGGATGTATTCCAGGCCTCCATCCACCAGCAGGAAGTGCTCCGCGACCCCCAGTGCGCAGCAGGCCCCCGCCCGCGCTGCACTCTGCTTTGTCACATCTATCTACGCCAGCGAGACGCCTCCAGCCACTGTGACTGACCGAAAGTGTAGCAACGGCCCCGCTTACCGAAACGCAGTGCGCCTCGTCCACCACGACCCGTGCGAGGCGCCCCTCCGCCGCCAGCCCGTCCAGCGCCCGCATCAGCACGTCACTGCGCGCCACCTGGCGGGGGGGAGGGCGGGGGTCTGAAATTGCGCGTGGGCATGCACCTATGGGCTCCGCCGCCTCCGACCCTCACCACACGCTGCTATGCCATGCAGCCCGCCAGCTGGCAACCCGACGTCTCAAGGCGCCACCACCACCACGTGCATACACTCGGGCGGACAGCTCTGAGATAGCAGCTGAGACAGCAGCTGAGACAGCAGCTGAGACAGCAGCTGCCGCAAACGGGCCCGCCTGCGCGCTGCCGCAATGGTTTGCCCCCACCTTTTCAGGCGTCACAAACACCAGCCGGACGTCCGAGGTCCCAGCCTTGATGCTGCAGACGGCAGGTTGGAGCGCACGACATCATCAGACACGCGTGCCGACAAGGGCATTGCACAGCGCTCCCCGCCTCGCACCATTCCCACGCCCTTCCCAGATTTGCAAGGCTCAAAATGTGCAGCCTCAGCCGAGTCCCATATCATGATGGGGCCTCATCCCCTTAGTTCTGACGCGCCCCCTCACCCGTCCAGCACTTGCCGCTGCTCCTCCCAAGACTGGGCCGAGCCCAGGGAGGCCGCCCCGATGTTGGCCTCCCTCAGGTGGAAGATCTGGTCCTGCGGGGTTTGACAAAACAGGGCTCAAACCAGGGCCCAGACTGACAGGTGGCAACAGAACACGTATTATGGCGTCTTGGGTGGGGCGGGTTTGGGGGCAGGAGCTGCGAGAAGGAGGCTTTGTCTGCTGCGCGCGGAGGAGAGGATGCAGGGCGTGGGAGGTCGCGGGAGAGCCGGGTCATGGTCATGCGAGAGAGACATGCGGGCTGAGCGGTTGCCGGCAAAGCAGCAGAGGCGTGTGATGACGTCAGCAGCCTCGCCTGGATCAGCGACACCAGGGGCGATATGACGACAGTCAGGCCGTCAGACAGCAGCGCCGGCAGCTGCAGGCGGTGCGAGGGCGGGGTGGGGGGGGCTTGCTTTCGGTGTGGCGGCCGGCATCGATGCCGGCTGCAACGGAGCGCGGCGGCTGCGAAGAGTTTTGTCGAGCCATGTGGCCGGGTGCATGGCACGGCGCAGTTCCGTTTTGGTTCGCCCAGCTGCTGCACCTTGCCCCCTGCACCCTGCCAGCTGCTGAGCCTTGCCTTCGACTGCACCCTGCCAGCTGCTGGGCCTTGCCACAGCGCGTCTCCGTGTCCCCCTTGCCGTCGAGTGCTTCCAAGCCAGGAGACCCCGCCGCCTGAGCGCGCGCCGCACGCCCACCGACCTGGTAGCAGAGGCTCTTGCCTCCGCCCGTGGGCATGAGCACGAACACGTCCTCCCCGGCCAGGGTGGCGTTTATGATGCGCTCCTGGGGGTTTGGGGGGCAGGGTGTTCAGGGACGGGGTGGGGGCGTGGCCAGCAGACGTGAGGGAGGGTTTGGAGGGATGGGGTGGGGGGCGTGGATGGCAAAACTTGGGGGCCCAGCGCACGGCCACAAGGGAACGGTGGTCCGGCTGCGGCCTGGGCGCGGCCAGGGCCATGCAGCTCTGCTGGCATATGGTCTTTAAGCTTGCTTGGAGCCGCGCGAATCAGGTACACTCCAAGACCCTTGTTCCCTCACCACGTTTCCCTGCCCCATTTCTACTGTAACCCAATTGAACCCAGCGCTTTGGCGCCTGCCAGCCCGCATCACGCATGTGCAAACTCCCATGGCGACGCCCGCGTCCCTGCGCGCTGCATGCTGGACGTGCACACCAGCTGCCTGTTTCCCTGGTTTCCATCACCACACCTGCTGCATCAAGAACATGCATGCGTGCGCACGCGCGCACACGTGCACACCTCCCTGTCCTGTTCCCTTCAACATACTCTGTGCGTCAACGACATGCAATAGCATGCACATACATACACACACGCGCGCACGCGCGCGCACACACACACACACACACACACACACACACACACACACACACACACACACGCGCGCGCGCGCGCGTGCATACAAGTCTCACCCCAAGTCTCACCCCAACCCCACCGCACCTGCTGCATCCTGAACGCCCTGTTGCCAAAGTAGGTGGCGTTCAGCCGCTTCAGCTCCTGGCTCCAGGGGAAGGGGCGGCGCCACCGCGCATCGTTGGAGCCGTCCACCTCGGTGCAGTCGGCGTCGGGGTTGAAGCCTTTGGGGGGTTGGGGGAATATGAATGGGT